AAAAAAGGAATGAATTCAATTCTAGTAACTTAACTACTAATTGACTCTAATAATTCAATGCCAAATGCAACTGTCTGATCTCAATCCTAAAATCTTCCCCTCTTCACACAGACCAAGAATAGATCATTGATTATTTTCTTCACCCTCCTTTTAACTTATCTTTGTTAAGTAGTACTACCCTGGGAACCATTTTTCTTTTTCCTTGTGACAACTGTTTGTTCACTTCTATAAATTTTTTTAAACCCCTCTCATCCCACATCCACACTGCTGCTTATTATATTTGTAAACGTTTTTTTTTTTCAATCTTTCATGTTCATGAAATGTCTGCTTCCTCTACTCCCTCTCTTTGTCGATAACATTTTTTATTGTACCACTTCTGAAAAAACACTAAGTTCCTTAGTCTTCTTCCTCATTCCTCTTTCCCAGTATTTTTCTCTACACCCCCCTATCTTCTCTGTTTTAAAAACACACATACACAAACCCAAAATTTGTCTTTCTTTGTTCTGATATTGCCTCCTTGAAGATGGAAGAGTTTGGAAAAGACAATATTGTCTTCCGGCCTCTGACATAGTAGAGGAATAGGGCTGAGGTGTATGGGGATGAGAACATGAGATCTGGTGGCAGGGGAGAAGGTGTAGGCAGTGTATAGCTATAGAGAATGCAGTACCTTTGGACTAAGCCTCACTTTTAAGAATCCTGTAAATGGCAGAAGGTAATTCAGTTTTTTTTAAGTGTTAGGAAACAGGTCAATCTTTTGATTTAAGCACTTGATTATTATTTAGCCCTTTCAAGTTGCTCAAACATATTTGCCTTCCTAGATGCCCCTTATATCCTGTGTTTCTGTTTTAAAGATTCTCCTCAGCAGTGTTTTCCCAAGAGGAATACATGGGAGTCAGTGATTTGAATAAAAGTCCTTTTTCCTCTCTATTGGATTGAGCTTAGTGTTGCTGATTAAATTATTTTTGGTTGTAGTTCTTTTTCTTTAGCCTTTGGTATTACAAGCTTTTCTTTCCCTTCTTTTATTTGCTATATAATCTTGTTTCACACTGATTAGGTTTCTTAGGTACTAGGGGCTCTTTTTTTTTTTCCTGGCTGCTTATAATACTTTGAAATTTGTTTTGGAAGGTCTAGAATTTTGGAATCAAGTTTCTTGGGGTATTACATTTTGAATTCTTTCAAAGGGTAACCTGAGAATTCTATTTATTACCACTTTATCCTTCTGATATGTATTTTGCCCTACAGCCCAGTGTGTAGTTAACATATCAGTTCTTCAAGGTTCAGCTAGGGACTAAACTATCCCATTCAAATCTGAAATCTTTGCTGAAGTTGCTAGCTGTACTACTATACTGTAAAAGATTTATGGAACCTCAGACCTCAAGATCAAATTGAATGATCTTTTCTCAATCCTCACCTTTCTCTATATCATTTGCCATTATTGATCACTGACTCCTTATAGATACTCTCCTCTTTGGATTTTCACAATATTGATATTGTTCTCTCCTGATTCTCCTCCTATCTCTGCACCCACTCCTTTGTATCCTTTGTTGGCTCATCATCCATGTCACATCCACTAACCATGGAGGTCCCCTAAAAGCTTTGTTCTCAGTTCTCTTCTCTTTTCACACTGTACCATCTCATTCATCAGCACCCATGGGTTCAATTATCTGAAGATGATTCCCAAATTTATACATTCAGCCCTAGTCTCACTCCTAAGCTGGAGTTCCAGTCACCAACAGGATCTTGGACATCTTGAACTGGATATCAAAGTCCAAATGTCCAAAACTAAACTCATCTTTTTCCTAAAACTATCATTTTGTTGGAATTGTTGAAGGTATGGCCATCCTCTCAGTCACCCAAGATCTTAACCTGGATTTCATCCTTGACTCCTCACTCTCATTCACCCCACATATCCAATCTGTTGTTAAATCTTCTATCTCTTTCTTTATAGACAGTCACAATTCTAGCTCAGACCCTCTCACCTAGTGAGATAGCAATAGCCTGAAATAGCCTTATAATTGGTATTCCTGCATCAAATCCTTACTCTAATCCATCTTCCACTTGGCTGTCAAGGTGATTTTACTAAAGTACAAATACTGACCATGTTATCCCCCTAATCAATGGGCTCCAGTGGCTTCCTATTGCCTTCTTGATTAAATAAAAACTCCTTTGGTTGGCATTTAAAGTTTTTTAAGACTTTTTTTTTTCACATTTTATTTTGCTCAATGTATTCCACAACCTAAATGCAATTTACTACTTGCAGTTCCTCACACACAGTACCCCATTTTCTGTCTCTGTACTTTTATACTGGTTCATTACATGCCTGGAATGCTTTACCTTTAATCCTCAGCTCAAGTCTCATCTTCCACAGGACGTTTTTACATTCTCTCCACCCCTCCACCTCTTTAACTGTTATTAGTCCCTTCTTTCAAATTATTTTCTTCTACTCTGTATATATCTTGTATGTACCTAAGCATTTACATGTTGTCTCCACCACTGGAATAAACTCCTCCTTGAGGGTGGAGACTTTTTTAGTCTTTGTCTCCTTAGTGCTTAGTACACTGCCTGGCACATAGTAGGCACTTAATAAACATTTGTTGATGACTGACAAGTATTAATGTCTGACCTTTACAACTTAACAGCACTTGTTTCCTAACACTTAAAAAGAATCATTTATGGGATTCTTAAGAGTTAGGCTTAGCCTAAAGGTACTGCATTCCCTATGGCTACACACCGTCTACACCTTCTGCCCTGCCATCAAATCTCATTTTCTCATCCCCTATTCCTCTACTATGTACCAATCCAGCTTTCTTTGCCTCTTACATTGTGCCCTCTGAAATCTTTTCTATCACTAACAAACTTCACCTTATATCTCTTTTTCTTAGGCTTTGTTTACTTATTAGCATTCCAAACTGGTTTTTATATACACACACATATACATGTGTGTATGCATATATATGTGTGTATGCATACATGTTATGTATATATTTCCGGTCTATCCTTTTAAATTCTGGTTTTAAAATCTGGTTTAAATTCTGGTCTCTCACATCCCTTTGTCCTGTGGGCTTCTCAAATTCAACATGTCCAAAACAGAACTCATTATCTTTTCCCTCCAGGCCTAATTTCTTATTAACTTCTGTATTTCTAGTAAAGGGTCAACCCCATCTTAAGCACCCAAGTTTCTAACTTTGAAATCATCCTTGAGTCCTGTCACATCACATATCCAATCAGTTGCCAAATTTTGTTGATCTACCTTTCTAACATATTCACATCCATCTTCTTCTTCCACACATATAGCCACTGCATTAGTTCAGTTTCATATCAAATCTCACCTTTACTTCTCTACTTTAATAGGCTCCTAATTGCCTATCCTCCAAAAACCTATTTTTGATAGGAATATCACAAAATGATATTCCTAAAAAGCACATGTTTCATTATGTCACTCACTAAACTCCAGTGGCTAATTATTATTACTAGAATCAAATACAAACTCCTACATTTGGCTTTTAAAGCCCTTCCCACTCTTGCTTCAACCCAGCTTTCCAGGCTTTCTATGTATTACTTTTGTTCATGAACTTTATGGTCCAGACAAAGTGGCTTTCTTGCTGTTCATTATACATGCCAATTGATTGTACCTTTGTTGTCTTTGTACCTTTGCACAGATTTTCTCCCATGCCCAGAATACATGCTCCTTCTTTACCTTTGACTCTTAAGAATCCCTATTTTTCTTCAAACATCAGTTCCTAATCTTCTTCAAAGCATACCTCCTACATATTGTCTTTCCTGATTCCCCCACTTATTAGTGTTCTCCCATTCCCTTATATTTACTTTACACATGCCCATTTTGTATGTAAATGTGTACATGCTGTTCTCACCTTTAGAATCTAAGTTCCTTGAAGATACGGATGGTCTCATTTATGATTTGAAACCAAAACACACAGCACAGTGCTTGGCACATAACAGGTGCTTAATAAATTCTTGTTAATTGAATAATTGGTTTTACTACTTCTGTTAAGTTTTCTTTTATGGCCCTGGGCAAGTTATTAAACCTGCTTGCCTCAATTTCTTCAATTGTGGAATGGAAACAATAGCACCTACCTCCTAGGGTTGTTGTTAGGATCAAATGAGGCAATATTTGTAAAGCACTCAGCACAGTGCCTAGCAAATAGCAGGGTCTCTATGAATTTCAACTATTATTATCTCTTAAAATATGGCAGAAGCTTCCTGTTTTATCAATGCTTTCTCAAATGATCTCTTCTGATTCTGTTTTTTTAGTTCTATTATTTTTATATTACATATCTCATATATTCTTTAAATTCTCCAAGCATTTGATTTTGTTCTAAATATGTCTTATATTAATTTATAATTCAAAGAGAAAAATAAGGACAAAACATCTAAAATCAGTCAATTTCTATTTCTGATCCCCATAAGTTCAGTAGTCTTGTCCAACTCTTTGTGACACATTTGGGCTTTTCTTGGCAAGGATAATGGAGTAGTTTGCCATTTCCTTCTCCAGCTCATTTTACAGATGAAGAACCAAGACAAACAGGGTGAAGTGACTTGTACAGGGTAAGTAAGTGTCTGAGGTCAGATTTGAACTCAGGAAGATGAGTTTTCCTGACTCCAGGCCTGGCGCTCTACTCATTGTGCTACCTAGCTGCCTTCAATCCCCATAACAAAGCCAAATTTTCATTATTCATTCATTTTCATCCACTTTGTTGCTAAAATGTTTGTGATCGTCCATAAGGACATAAATACATGTAAAAGTTATTTGAAAAAATATTAATAACCACAAATATATATAAAAAAAGATGTGAAATTTAGCTCCAAATTATATTTCCCTATGAACTGAATACATTTGTAGCAAAATGATATAAAGTCACATTTTGCAATATAAATTAAGATTCTAATTGAAATGGTTACATAATTTATCTATTTCCTAGACTAGAATTATTATTTTGCTTATTCAAAATAATTACTTATGTAAATTTTTGTGAAAATACCTTTAGATTATATTTATGAGCATTATCCAAAATAGCAGGTACCAACTCATCTGTAGATTTCCCATTATCATCAGCTGAACCAAGTGGGTACCATGACAGGGCTACCACACCTAAGAAACAACGGGAAAAAAAAACAGAGAAAGAGATGACAGTAGGTACTACATAAACTGAAAGTAGTCATTTCTTTTAATAGTTTAATAATCAACATTCAAGAGGAAATACTATTTTGAAAGCAGTACTATCAGATCAGTCTTCATATAGAACATCTATATGGATGGAAAACATCTAATAGAAGGAGTTGTATGGATCTACATATTAAAGATCTTTTATTAAAGTTTAATTATTTTTATACACACACATATACACAAAATGCAGGTTGAATTACCTGATATTATTTAAAGCTGTTTGCAATAATTTACTTAAAAAAAAGAAATATATTTTCATATGATGATGTTTCACTATTTCATTAACAGCATTTAGTGAATATACATTAGCTATAAAACACTTTAAAAATAGACATGGAAAGAATCCAGGAGAAGATGGTGATTGCCAAGGTAAGGCTGTAGAGAAGTAAAAAAAAAAAAAAAAAAAAAAAAAAAAGCAATGAGAACTGAGAAAAGATTGTAAGAAGTTCAGGTTAGTCTGAAATAACCTACTATCTCTCTGATCTAAGGGATATAAGAGATGTCCTCTTATGACTCCTTTTAAAATTCTGTTTAGAGAGGGAATTCTCTAAAGAATTTAAGTAAAAGCAGAATGAACAAAAGATCTGTTTCACAAGTCAGTGACTTCTTCCTGAAGATAGCCAAAAGAATACTCTGTCCTCTAATTTTCATTATATAATGTTTATTATATAATTCCACAATTATATAATAATTTTTATGTAACACCCAAATCCACATTTATTCTCTAAGATCCCACTACTGAGCTGGTTACTAAGGAACTTAACGTCATGCATGTAACAGGTACTGCTCTGGCCTAGCTAAGTGAGGTTTCTTCTCAGATCAAATACATGATGCTGGGTGTCCATCACACAGTCAGCTCCTCCACAGGGATGTTACTGGGGTCTCTACTTGCTGACAGCACAAACTCAACCACATCTGGTTTTTCATTTGCTTCAAAATTCTTTTTGCTACTATGGTGTGGCTTCTGTTGCCACAGTATTCTCAACCCTCAGAATTCAGATGTTCCACAGTTTATAGGTAGTAAACATTTTACTGTTTTAATACCAATTTATGTTTGTTTTTTTTAATTTAGCATCAATTTCAGGAAAGCATGTTTACTTTGCTTTATGAGTTTTGAGGCTTAATTTTGGGAAAAAAAGTTCACTTTCCATTCTATTTCTAGAGGAAGGGGCACAAGTGTAAAACAATGGCCTAGGTGTTATTAATTTACTCTGGAACCTAAGGGGTATCTATAAATATACCTAGTGGAAAAGTTCCTTTGATATTCAAAAGCTATTTAGAAATATAAGCTTATCTTCATTTAGTTAAAGACTTAGAGTGCATTTCTTGGAGATTTATCAATAAATATACCTTTGTAAAAAACTGATAAATGATTAGTTGTATTTGGTACCACAAAGTACATGAAGAAGTTATAACCTTGCAATTGGCATTGACTTAATTAAGTATTGTGATTATTTTAAATAAAATTCTTTTATTGTAGGTTGGCTTTCCTGGGATAAAACACAATGACAAACAAGGAAACAAAAATCCTTCAAGAAAAACTGACAAGAATAAATGACTACGTATTCCACCTCAATTGATCTTATCAAGTTTCTTCCTAGCTGCATGCTCTGAATAAACTATTCTTGCCAAATGTCACCGCAGTCAAGGAAAATGGAAATCTACTCTGGCAACAATGTTGTCAAGGTTTACTGGAGTTGCTAAAATATCATAGAACACAACTTAACTGTGTGAACATGTTAAGAGGCTTGGGATTGAGAGGTAGGAGTTGGAATCTTTTATTTGAAGTAGCTTAAAGTTCCTAAACACTGGTTTCTGAAGCCCAATGGTAGTAAAACAAGGTAGATTCTTCAAGTGAGGGAAAGACAGTTTTCTAGATTTTTTTATGAGATTTCAGAAAAGTATTATGTTTAGAGAAAATAATTATGTTGTAAGAAGTGATAAAAAAGGGACAGTTTCAAAGAAACTTGGGAAGACTTGTGTGAACTAATGAAGGGTAAAGGAAGCAGAATCAGGAGAAAAATTTATACAGTAATAACATTTATAAAGAAATGGAACTTTGAAAGACAAGAACGTCAAAGGATATGAACAGGTAGATTTCAAAGGAAAAAAAAAATCCAAGCTATCTACAAACCTATGGACAAAGATAACAAGAAGAGAAGGACAAATGTTAGAGTAGTTATGTTAAATCAGGCACACTAGTGTACTGTTGATAGAGCTGTAAATTAGCTCAGTTATTCTGGAAAGCAATTTGAAACTATGCCTTAAAAGATATTCTTTGAGCCACTACTGATCCATATTCCAAAGAAACCAAAGAAAGAGGAAAAATCTATTTGTACAAATACATAATAGCTTTTTGTTGTAGTAAAAATTTTAGTAACAAAAGGAGCGTCTATCAGTAGGGTAATGGTTAAGCAAACTTATATATGAATCTAATGGGATATTATTATGCCACAAAGAATGATGACATGAATAGTTTCAATGGAAAGACCAATGAACTAATACATATCAAAAATAAGCAGAGGAGATCATTTCATAAAATGATAACATTATTAAAAATATACTGAAAGGCTTTAGAACTCTGGTCAATACAATAATAAAAAAGTATAAAACAATGATGTTGAAACAAACCACTCTCTCCCAATCAGAGAGGTGATGAACAAAAAAAAAGCAGAAACATGTATTTCTGGACATGGCCAATATAGGAATTTGTTTTGCCAATCTATGAATGCACGTTTTGAGGCTTTTATTTTTCATCCTTGTTCTCCCTTCAATTAGAGGGCAGGGATGGTAGGAGGGGCAAAGTAACAAAAAAAAAAAGAGTGAAAGCTTTTAGTAGATATGGAGATTTGTAGATAGTCATATAATGGTCTCCAAAGAAAAGAAATGAAATAAATTAGCATCAATGAAACATTTAAATATGTACAGAAGTTATGATTGGACAAAGACATACTACACAGTATTGTGGTAGTTTCATATATAATCCTCTTTTCTATTCTTATTTATATATTACACTGTTAGTGTTTGCGATGTCTATTAACTTTACAATAATAATCGTATCAATTGAAAAATTGTTTTTAAAAAGATTTAAGAACTCTGATCAATGAAATGATGAATGAAAACTATATCAAATCAATGAAGAAGCATGGTACCTATCCTACCTTACAGAGAGGTGATGCAGCCAAGATGCAGAATAAAATAATTCCTTTTATGATATAAATATGGTGCTAATACCTAAACTAGGAAGAGCCAAAATAGGGAAAGAAAACTACAGACCAATTTCCCTAATGAATATTGATGCAAAATTTTTAAATAAAATGCTAGCAATGAGATTACAGCAACATATCACAAGACAAGAAAAAAAATACAGCAATATATCAGAAAGATCATACACTATGAACAGAAGGGATTTATGCCAGAAATGCACGGCTGGTTCAATATTAGGAAAACTATCAGCATAAGTGACCATATCAATAACAAATACAACAAAAATAATATGATTATCTCAATAGATGCAGAAAAAGCTTTTGACAAAATACAACACTCATTCCTATTAAACACTAGAAAGTATTGGAATAAATGGAGCTTTCCTTGATTGATAAGTAGTATCAATCTGAAACTATCAGCAAGCACTATCTATATTTGGAACAAGCTAGAAGCCTTTCCAATACAATCAGAAGCAAGGATGCCCTCTGTCATGACTATCATTTAATATTATACCAGAAATGCTAGCTGTAACAATAAGGGAAGAAAAAGAATTGAAAGAATTATAACAGGCAATATGGAAATAAAACTATCACTCTTTGCAGATCATATGATGATATACTTAAGAGAATCCTAGAGAATCAACTAAAAATTAGCTGAAACAATTAACTTTGCCAAAGTTTCAGAACATAGAATAAAGCCACTTTAATAAATTATCAGCATTTCAAATACCAACAAAGTTCAGCAAAAAATAGGATAGAAAAAGAAATTCCATTTAAAAGAACTGCAGATGACACAAAATACCAAGACAAACTCAGGAATTATGTGGACATAATTACAAAACACTTTTCACATAAAGTCAGATCTAAACAACTGGAAAAATATTAATTGTCATGTGTACACTGAGTCTATATAATAAAAATGACAACTCTACATACATTAATTTATTCAGTGCCATACCAATCAAACTACCAAAAAATTAGAGAGCTAGAAAAAATGTCAAAATTTATCTGGAAGAACAAAAGGTCAAGGGTATCAAAGGAATCAGTGATTTAAAAATGTGAAGGAAAGTAGCCTAGTAGTACCAGATCTCAAGCTGTTTTACAAAGTGGTAATCTTCAAAACAATCTGGTACTGGCTAAGAAATAGAGTGATGGATCAGTAGAATAGATTAGGTACACAGTAGTAAATGACCAGAATAATCAAGCGTTTGATAAATCCAAAGATCTAAACTTTGGAGACAAATACTCACTATTTGACAAAAATTGCTGAGAAGAAGGAAATAGCATAAGCAATGAAGAAACAAAACGATCATTCTTTACAGATGATATGATGGTATACTTAGAGAATCCTAATGAATCAATTAAAAAACTACCTGAAATAATTAACAACTTTAGCAGAGTTACAGGATATATAATAAACCCACATAAATCATCAGCATTTCAATATATTACCAACAAAGTAGAGCAGCAAGAGGTAGAAAGAGAAATTCCATTTAAAGTAACTGTAGACAATCTAAAATATTTGGGAGTCTATTTGCCAAAACAAACCCAGGAACTATATGAGCACATGTACAAAACTGCTTTTCACACAAATGAAGTCAGATCTAAATAACTGGAAAAACATCAGTAGGGTAGGCCAAGCTAATATAATAAAAATGATAATTCTACCTAAATTAATTTACTTATTTAGTGCCATGGCAATCAAATAACCAAAAAATT